GACGTGGCCATGTTGGTTTAATGTGATAGATAATCATCTTTCAGGGAAGATTTAAATCGTTTTATAAATTTGTGTCTGATTTGTTTTAATTGCCAGGATCAAAAACAATTATTCAGCTTTGTCTAAATGTTTATCTTTTAATTTGCATTTCACATTTTTATTAAATTCTTGTAATATAAACATTTCAGTGAAACAAAGATGGAGCTGGTTGTATATGAACACAAACTTTTTTCAGTTACTTGTGCCAGACTTGGTGAATGGATAGAACAAATTTTAGACGAAACTTGTGTTATTAAACTTGTCAGACGATATTTGTTTATTCTACAGTCATTTCTGGCTAAAACCCAACAGTTTCAATGAAATGGAATCAATTCTGAAAGACAACATTTGGAGTGAGTTGCAAATAAGTAAACATATTTTTAACAATGAAATGTCTTTTATTAAAAACAGTAAATGTAAAATATTTTACTCAGCATAGTTATTTTTGTTTTGATTAGAAGACAATGTGAAATCCCAGCTTTGCATGTGTCCCTGCCTTTATTGACTTTTCGTACTTTGACAATAACCAAAGATAATGCAAAAACAAATACACCTCAGCTGTTATCGGAGTGAAACTATTTGCACATAAAGTTTTCTCAGTAACTGATCAATGCTCATCTGTGTGCATCGTTACCAGTAATCAAGCTTACATCTGTAAGTTGGAAGGTGGCAGTGGAATAAGTAATTGGATCATTGTTAAAGATTGTTAAAGTTTTCCTTCCAGCAAGAGTTTGTTCGTTTCCCCTCATAGTTTTGTCTTGGATACTGCAGTTGTGTCAGAGTGCTGTGGCTCTGTGGTTGCTTTGATTTGTTTTTGTCTTGTAGGTTTTACATTTATGGGTCTGTTTGGGGTTTTGTTCAGATCATTCATTTGTTTTCTTCCTTTGTGTGCTCAGTTTATAGTTTTAGCTTCCCAGATTTGTTGCTCTTACTTTGCTTTCTACTTCCCAGGTCTTCGATTGCTAATTATCACACCTGCTCTACATCAGTAATTATTTCTTAGCACATGTACATATACAGCTGTGCTCAAAAGTTTATATACCCTGGCGGAATAAGTGATTTTTTTGGGGCAACTTTTCATAGAATATGAATGAAATATCTCAGGGGCCGAGATGGGGTAGATGGGGCAGCCAGCCTGGGACCATAAGACACAGGCTCAATCCCCAGTCATCTCCACAAGTCGTGGTGTCTCTGAGCAAGATCCCCAATCGCAACCCCCCCCCCCCCCCGGGCACCCACATAGCTGCCACCGCCCCATCTGGGTGTATCCAAGGTGCGATGGGTTAAATGCAGAGGACTAACTTTTACCAGTGTATGGGAACATATGATGAAAACACATAGCACTTTATTTATTATTAAAACACAAACAAGTCCCTTTTACTCATGGTTAGTGGTTGGGTGAAGCCATTTATTATCAAACAAATGTGTTTACCTTTATGACATCATAATGACAACAGAAACTACCCAAATGACCCTGATCAAATATTTACATACCCTAGTTTTTAACATTGTGCATTGCCTCCTTTAGCATCAACGACAGCTTCAAGTCTTTTGTGACAGTTACAGATGAGACACGATATTTTCTCTCATGGTAAAGCTGCCCGTTCTTCTTGGCAAAATGTCTCCAGCTCCTGTAAATTCCTGGGCTGTCTTCCATGAACTGCATGTTTGAGATCTCCCCAACGTGGCTCAATGATATTGAAGTCGGGAGACTGAGATGGCCATTCCAGAACTTTCACTGTTTTCTGCTGTAGTCGTTGACTCGTTCACTTGTTGTCTCGTTGTCTCATTGACTTGGCCTTAGGTTTTGTCTTGTTGGAATGTCCCAGTGCATCCCATGCACAGCTTCCAGGATGATGAAGGAAATTTTTCCTCCTGTATTTTCTGATAACATGCTGCATTCACCTGGCCATTCATTCTGGCCAAGTTCCCTCTTCCTGTGTAGCTCACACATCCCTAACACATGAGAGATCCACCTCCGTGTTCCCCAGCCTGGATGGTGTACTTTTCATCATTCTTCTTGACTCCTCTCCAAATGTAATGTTTATGGTTGTGGCCAAAAAGTTCAATTTTGGCCTCATCGCTTCCACTAAATTAGTTCCAGAAGTTTTTACTTGTCTCTGTGCTGTTTGGCATTCTGTAAGTGGGCTGCTTTGTGGCAATGACATAGGAATGACTTTCTTCTGGTGACTCTATCATGCAGCCCATTTCTCTTCAAGTGCCTCCTTTTGTACATCTTGCTGTGTATCATTTTGTTGCGTGTATTTTTCAACAAGTTTGACAATTTTAAATGGTTTTAAATGGCTTTTAATGAAGCATTCTCAATTTTTAATTTTTTTTATTTACTGTTATGGGGCACTCCCATTCAGCAACCTACACTCATCAAATAGATCCCAACATGTCACCAGTGATTCGAACAGCCAGCACCTATAGTCTCATTTGAGGCATCAGATTTTCTGCCCTGTGGACACAGTCGGCTGGTTTCAGCACATTGATATGACCACTAACACCTGAGCTGATGTGAGCTCAAACGTAGGAATAGCTGCAGCAAAACATTCTGTGTTGTGGAGGTATTCTGTTTAAATCCCTTTGGAGCAGAAAGAGAGGACCAGAACAGAAAACTGAGGAGGATATATAAAAAGCGGGACATTTTTGGCAACATGGTGGGACTTTTAACTAGTTCTTTGGTGGGTTTGTGTGTGTGAGGCAGTGATGGATTATTGATTAAAGCATTTCTGGAATAATTAGTAGACTTGCGTTCAATAACTGGTTGAAATATTTATGAAATTAAAACTTTTTTATAGAATATATATATATATATATATATATATATATATATATATATATATATATATATATATATATATATATATATATATATATATAGATG